GTCAGTTTTGCCATCAGGCTAGGCTTAAAGGGAGACACTGAGAGAGGGAGAGAGGAGCTGTACTGTGGAAGACAGCGAGAGATGGTGGCATGAGACGGCAGGAACCAGGAGACCAGCACAAGATGGCTGCAGTGGGGCTTGCTGATGCACGGAGCTAAGAGTTGTACAACTTGTCCAGGAAGGCCCCCAGCAGGAGGCCCCCAGCAGTGCCTGGTGGTAGCAAGGCCCCAGCAGGGCCTGGCGGCTGCAGAGAGCAAGAACTGTATCCGGGGCGTTTCTGATCCTGTACCGAATTGTACCATTACCTCCCTAATAAACCACTTAATTGTAAGTACAGTTTTTGAGTTCTGTGAGACGTTGCAGCAAATTACAGAACCCAAAAACAGGAGGGAGAGTACTGAAGGGAAGCGGAGTAGTTAGAGATGATGGAGTGGGATGTCGGTTTGGAAAAGCTGGACACATGGGACATCTTTAGTGTCTGCCTCGTAGGAACCAGTTTTGTGCTGATTCTTATAAAAGAAATTATTCATTTTAAAATGTTTTCTTGAGTAGGAAAATTTTTAAATTTGATACATACTATCTGGTGGCACAGTGATTAAGCTCTAACTGAAAGGTAGGTGGTTCGAACCCACCAGCTGCTCTGGGGAGAAAGATGTGGTGGTCTGCTTCCATAAAGATTATAGACTTGGAACCCTAGGGAGCAATTCTACTCTGTTCTATAGGGTCACTATGAGTCAAATTGACTGGACAACAATGGGCTTTTTTTTTTTTTTTTTTGGTGACCCAAATGGTTAAGTGCTTGGCTACTAACCAAAAGACTTGTGGTTCGAATCCACCCAGAAGAGACTTGGAAGCCTGGCGATCTAATTCCTAAAAATCACAGACATTGAAAATCCTACAGCACTTCTGCTCTGAAACATGGGGTTGCCATGAGCCAGAATCGACCTGGTGGTAAGTGGCTTGTTTTTGGTTTGATCTTTATTTATATATAATTGTGAGTTCCTCTTGCAACTCTCTCCTGGTATTAAAAGGAGTCTCAAATCATCTGTTACATATTCAGTTGTATTGCTTCTGCAGCAAGTGCACTAATATACCGAAACCCTTTTCAATAAATATCTAAATCATGCAATGAATAGACTGTATGCAGTAAATTATTTGATAATCTTAAATGTTTTTATTCCATTTACATTTCCATCTTCATTACACACTTCTCTTACGTAGCTTTTAGTGCAACCTCTTGTAAAAATCTTTTCAGTACTACGTATTAAAGTACTACTGACTTATAGTGGATTCAGTTTCAGTGGTACATTTCAAAGTCATGTGAGATAATCTAGAATATTGCAAGATGTCTAGCACTCTGGCTTTGCCTACTAAACGGCTGTAGCATTCTCTACCCAGTCATTATGACAAGCATCAAGAACAACCCAAAAGGTCTCTAGCAGTCAAGCTCTTAACCACTGTGCCACCAGGGCCCCAAAAGGGCATCTACCTACCTGTCGGGGAATCAAATCTCAGTCTCCCATGTGACAGGAGGGGATACTCACCATTATATTAATAAGCATAAAAAAACACCTCAAAAGTCTCCTAGGGAGTGGCACTACTCTAGGGATAGATTACCCAATAAACAAGGTATGGACAGGCTTAATTGTGCTTACTAATCTGTAGTGCACAATTTCACCTGTTTTTCACTACATCTGTAAACCGGTTCATACTGTGCTTGCTTACTGGTTAATCTGCCCGTGCCCACTACCCCCTCTGTGAGCCATTAAAATCTGTCAAAGAGTCTCTAGAATCTGACAATTTGCGATTATAAGTCTCAGGTACTTGTCTGGCGATGGTTGGGGATCCCACTGTGCCTTTCACAATATGCAGAAACAATTTCTAGTGGCTAGAGAGAGTAACTCCAAGGCTAGATGTGATTCTAGGGAAAAAGGAACTTTTTTTTAGATGGGATTTCCAGAATATAGGATTACAAAAACAGAAACTACTCGTGCATTCTTCCCTTAATTCTATGTCAACTCAACCAAGTGAATTTGTGCAAATTTATTTTATCAAGTGGGGAAAGAATCTCAATTTGATACATGCTGTTTATAAATCGAGTTCCTCTTGCAACCCTCTCCTGGTATTTTCTCTCATCACCCAGTTTGAGAAAAAAGCAAGACAAAACCTCAGCCTATAGATGTTTGTTCATTTCTTCAGAACTCGAAAATTTGTTTTAGAAAATTAGGTAGAGTTAGAAGACTTACTAGAAACCATTTTAAAGGACAGGTAAATAATTTTTTAGATGTTCCACAGGTGAAAATTAAGAAGTTTGTATACAGTTTTAAGGAACTATAAAGGAATATACAGATAATAATAATGCAAAAATTCTGGGGGAAAGCTATATTGAGAGTCAGGGAGCTCATACTGTTACTAGTTACTGACCATAAATTTCCAAATGAAATAACAGGCACAGGTTGAGCCAAATGGTCCTAATATCTCTTTGCTGTACCACAACCTAGCATGATAGCCTTTAAACAAAATTTGTATTTATTTTGTGTCAACTGGAATATTAGCACATCACACAATTGTAGACTTTTATTTAAAAGGAATCTTAGCCATTTTTTTCCCTTCAAAGAAATACACTGTTAATAACTTCAGAAAATATAATTTAAATATTTTTTTTTTTTAAAAAGGCAGCTTACATTGATGTGCTGTAATTATTATTTTTTTAAGTAAGAGTATGAGTTTTGGAGTCAGACTTGTATTGAATCCTGGTTCTACTTCATATGTAAGGTAATACATGTAAAGAGCTTAGTTAAGTTCAAGGCACACAGTAGTCCTCAAATGTTAGCTATTATTATTTCTAATCAAAGCACTAATAGCTACTATTTATGCTTACTATGCATGTCTTATGAACATAATTGCATTTATTTTCCTCATCATTCAATGAGTATTATTCTTAATACACAAAAACACTAAGGTTCAGACAGGTTGAGAAACATGCCTGAAGGCCTGAACCCAGGTGTCAGAATCCAAAGCACCAATGCTACTAGCCACAAAATGGTTCTTAAACTGGGGGGGTCTGTTAAAAATCCTGCCGGAGCATGGGGGGAGGGGTGCCCATAAGTTTTCTATGAGAATTCAACATTGTTTCACATTAATAAAAATTTAAAAAAACAATTAACATTCATGTTCTAAAATATCTGGGTAGCTGCCTTAAAATCAACTACTGCCAGAACGCTTCAGCATTTATGTTTGCCTTTGTATTTATTTCCACATTAAAGCCCAGTTCTGCTTTAGTTGTGGAAGGCTTATGGAGAACAGAGGCAGACTTAACAGGGAAATGATGCTTTCATGCTAAATGAAGATCAAATAACATCACTATGTGCTGAATAAATGAAAATAATAGTCTGAACAGAGAAAACGTGGGAGAATTGAGTCACTACATAGCACATGATAGTACGTGCATGCTGAACTCGAAAGACCCTGTACAACAGCACTCAGTACCATAATCACATTACACGTGACAACTTAGTTTTGGAAAAATATCACCATCCATCATGTTCAATTATTGTTAAGTTTTGTTTTAGTTTTGCTTGTGTCTAATCTGTAAATTTTGGTTTTATACTTGTGCAAGAGCTATAAACATAAGGTATTTACACCTAGTTTTATGTTTACACATATTTAGGTAACATTATAATAAATATAATTGAAGTAAAAAACAAGGAGCTAAGAGAACTTTTCCTTATTAAAAGGGGTTCTGTATTATTCAAGTTTGAGAATCACTGCTCTGTGTTTGTGTGTGTGGCCACCGGCAAGTCACTTACATTCGTTCTATTACCACCTACCTCACGGGACGTGCAGCAGGATTAAATGAAATAACGTGTGGCAGCAACTGGCCCACAGAAGGAATTAAAATGATAGCGCTGTCTCCTTTCCCCAACAGGGAAAATATGGAAGCTAAATATAGTCTAGGCTCTTGTTATGCCAAGAGTGGTCTGGGAACCTACAGTACTGATATCACCTAAGAGTTTGTTAGAAACTGAGAATCCTGGGCCCATTCCCAGACCTACCAGCTCAGAAATCTGCATTTTAACAGTATCACCAGGTGATTTAATATATGCAACGGAAGTTTAAGAAGCACTGATCTCGGTTTCAGAGGGAACGTTGACAATAAAACTCACTGCATTTTGTACCACTCTTTAGGTTCAACTTTGGTGATTAGACAACAGCATGGTGTAAATAAATACATACCCTATACTGGGTTTTAATATAAACATTTTACGTTTGGTTCTTCGCAGGCTGTATAAGCATAGAGTGGGACTCCCTTTAAAAGGGATCTAACTTCTAACTCAAAAAGACCAAAATATTTTTTAAAATGAAAAACATTCAAAAAAGCCTTCTGAATTTTGAATAAACAAATTTTAAGGCTGTGTTAATTACTACATTCTTAGGTCTCGTTTACTCAATAGCAATTAAAATTATTTACATATGTTAAGATCTTATTTAAATATTTTAGCTCACAAAATCTAGTCTGACAAATTCCTGGCTCAGTTTATGCTGTACAGTGCTTAGACGAAATGAAACACATTTCAAAAAAAAAAAAATGATTATGTATATGAAATGTGTTAGTTTTAACTGTTCAACAAAAACATTAGATCATATTCAGTAGTTATGATTTTGTTAATGTAATTCACCTAAGGAATGTCCAGGCTTTTCTTCTTGAATCTACTGGTTCTATGCATTTAAGGCTTAAAAACAAACAAAAAAAAAAATACTGTTGTTGAGTTGATACCAACTCATAGTGATCCTACAGGACAGAGTAGAACTGCTCCATAGGGTTTCCAAGGTTGTAATCTTTAAGGGGGAGCTCTGGTGGTGTAGTGGTTAAGAGCTTGGTTGCTAACCAAATGGCTGGCAGTTCAAATCCACCAGCTGCTTCTTGGAAACCCTATGGGGCAGTTCTACCCTGTCCAACACCTAACAACAACAATCTTTAAGGGAGCAGACCTGCTACATCTTTCTCCCATGGAGAGGCTGATGGGTTCAAACTGCTGACCTTTTGGTTAGTAGCTGAATGCTTTAACTGCTCTGCCACCAGGGCTTACTGTACTTAAAAAGACTCAAAGATGCTGTCCTCAGAAGTAGAGAAACAAAGTTAACAACTAATATTCAAGAGAACTATTAATATTTAAAATGATCCTGATACCATCTGTTTAAGGGCTATTTCAGTAAAAATCAAAGCTTGAAGTGTGTTATTTATTGCTCTATGTTCTTTAACATGGACCACAGAAATGACTCTCTCAAAGAAGGTAAAACAAGGCAGATTATGGTGTGTGTGTGTGCATATATACATACACATATATATATTTATATATAACCATATATATATATGGTGAGAGCTAGTAGGCAACTCATCATCTCGGGTTTATGGTATGATCTAGATTATAGGTAGAACTTTTCTTCATCCTCCTTCATGTTTTCAGGCAACTGCAAACCAAGAGTCAAACATACACCATAAGGCTGCATTAGTCTCAGTACAGTGGAAGTACCCTAGTGTATGCTGATTATAACTTAAGACAACTAGAATCTGCAACTCACCTGGCTAACCCAATTTTAGAGGTTATCTTGTAGTCTTTTTGGTCTTTAATACAGTCAATTCCCTGTTCCCAGAACCAGTTTCCGGTACTTCAAATTCTAATTTCTGTTTACATATTAAGCAATTCAAACTGTACGTACATACATACACAATGTATCAGGGAAACAAAAAGGGTGATCTTTAGCTTGGACTTAATATTACATTTTATCACTTTCCTGTTAATGGTAACAAAGACAACTGAATGATTACCTATAGTTTGAATTCATTAAATGATATCTATGTAAATAGAAGACAAGCAGAAATAGGCAAGCCATATTTTTGTACTAATTATCTTTATAGAAAGGGGAGACATTTTATTCCTTTTAGACTTCAGAAACTTGATCAAAAATCTACATCTGTTTTTCCTACCAAAAATATTCTAAAAATCCTGTGTTGATTACTCTCAAAATACTGTAGATGGATTCCTTCGATAAAAGAAACAGAGCATCAGCCAATAAAACATATTAAAGAAAATAATTAAAATATGAACCACTTGCTCTCTTAGAGTCTAATAAAGACCGAGCTTTAAGAGATCATTTTCACTATCAAGCAACTTGGATATAGATGAATTAAAAAGAATCCAAACATATGCTGATGCTAGAAATGTATTTGCTGTGAAAAATCATACTATGCCTCACATGAATTAATGAACTTAATATTTTGTATAAGTTGTGTCTTCAGCAATTCAACTAGCATTTGGCATAGCCAAAGTTTAATTAAGACGCGGTAGTGCTTTGAATCAACATCAGATGCTAATGGTCATCTCCACCCAGCCACCCCTTTATCCTCTAATGTGTCCTTGAAAATGGTGTGTGTTATCCAGGCTATCTAACCTTTTGCCAAAGGCAGATATATACTGAACATTACTTAATCATTTCAATACCAATGTCACTATGTTTCCCCTCCTAGGATTTAGTACACTGAAATAACTTCAATACATACACTTCTGACAACTATAAAAACACGAACTTGGTCCCATAACAAATTCAGTTTCATTGAGAAGAGTGGCCCTTATTTTCAGTGACCATTAAATTATGAAATCCTACTGATATGTATATAGTCTCATACCACCTTTATACTTTAGGACATCAATTGTACAAGAGTCTCAGCATATGTAGAATCCTGCTTGTGTTACTAAACATGTAGTACGAACATAGCAAAGGAACATCCTTTCAAATTATTGCCTGTAAGAAATTGTATATATAAATTTGCTTCCTTTCAAATGTCAAAGTAGCTTGTAGTCTCTATTATTTATAGACAGGATAGGATTATCCAACAAGCAAGGTAAGCACAGGCTTACTTGTGCTTACTTACTAATTTCATGAGTTTCACTTTAGTTTCAGATTAGTAAGCAAGCACAAGTAAGCCTGTGCTTACGTTGCTTACTGAGTCATCCGCCCCTCTCTACAGAGGAAGTGGTTCAGGACAGATGCCAACTTATGGCAGCCTAGTCCAGCTTTAACACAGAAAATCTGGCATATTTTTATAGCTGCTTCTAGTGAAAAAGATACCTTAAATATGATTTACCAATTGACAGGATGAGCCTAATGTTTCAGGTTTTGAAGGCGCAAAGCTCAAGAGGTTAAAGGAGTATTATTTGAGGGGAAACTTAACACCCAACACTTGACTGGTTGCCTGGACCTGATGGCCTAGGGAACAAAACAGGAAGACCTTAACATACAAGCATACACAAGAACAACTGATTTTGATTTCTGACACAAAGCAAATACGTCCAACACCTGTACAAGAAAAGAGCGCTTACCTAAAGAAATGTAAAACCCCTTCTTGTTTATATGGGAAAATAAAGGATGGGGTTAACACAAATACAGGGGGATTTTCCTATCATAAATGAAGAGAAGTATGTTTCTTTTCCCCCCACTGAGGAATTAATTTGGGTATAGGGGAATGAGATTCTTGGAAGCAATGATCCTGAGCACACTGCAATAGAAGAGTTCCACTGTTTCTTCTGTGAACTGCCAATGTACATGATGGGGTGACGGAGATGGGGGTGGGTGTAGGAATCAAAAGAAGGATGAAGGCACTCAGATGGAAATGATAATGGTTTGACCTTAATTCAAGAAAAAATGTTTAAAATGGCTAACAGATGCCTCTTGTTAAAAAGTGCAGCATTGGGGGAGAAGTGGGCCAGAAGAAATTCTGGAGAAGGAAGAGGTCCTCATGTTTGGGATTTTGAACTAACAGCTCTTGTCCCATGAAAGAAAAATCACTCAAAAGGTGCCAAGGACAAGAGGAGTGGCTTGTAGCACTTCCTCATGTGTATTTATTCCCATTTAAAAACTAACTAGACACTCCACCACACAAACTTCTCTACTGTTTTATCCAAAGACATCCAAATACTTTCTAAATGCTATCCCTGTGATACCTCTGTGAGGTAGGTAGCATAATTCTAATTTTTATTTATAAGCAAGCTAAGGCACAAATAGAGCCTGAGTGGCAAAGTGGGCTGGGAAAAAGACAATTATCAGGTCCCTGGCTCTGTTCAATTTAACACACTTCCTCCATATTGAAGTACACAACACAAGAGACTCTTCTACAAAATGCCCTAGGTAGTAGCACTAAGAGACAAATGATATTCATGACTCTAGAAGACAGCACACTCTTTAAACGCCCTCTGATGGAGTCCTGGGAGAAGTTCTTCACTTAAGAGTACTAGTCTGTGTAGCTCTTTTGAATAAGAATACCAAGTCACTCATGATTAGAGGAAAAAGGCTGAAGATACAGCCTTCTTATTTTCCCCTATTATTCAGACAAGAATGGTGGCAATCTTAATAATCATAAAATCCAAGGAACTAAGACCGCTACAGTAAAATTCCAAATCCTATATTTGGTAACAACTGGTAACAATTCTGATTTTTTTGACCAGTAGATACACTTCCATATTCTTGGTCCTGGATAATTCTCTTTTATCATAACCAAATTATCTGTATAAAATGTAAGTGGTATTAACACCAGGATCTGAAGCAAACGAGGCATCTGGTCAGCACACACTTGTTCTACATATTTTGAGAAATATTTCAGTAAACAAAAGAAGTGTGCAATGTTGATGAAATGGCGCGAACAATATTGGTAGCTTGTCTAATGGAGACTCTAGTGTCTTTTCAGGAAACTGAAGATACTCAAAAAGTTGCTCCCCAATTTCTATTAACAACTCTCTAAAAATGAACATTTCCATTTGATACAAATATACAAATTTAAAATAACTGTGTAGTTCCAAGTGGCCTACATTTTTAGACTGCTTATGTGCCAGAAAATATACAGTCAATAAAAAAATACCAGAGAGGTGGGCACAAAAGACTCTCTGGATCTGTACAGCAAAAATGAATATCACTTCAATAAGTAGCGAGTCATGGAGAAAGCGGAATTCTTAGAAACCAGCAGCACTGAAAGATGGCAGGTCACAAATCTGGTGATGGTGGATAAGATGTACAGTAAGGCCCATTTTCCTGTGGAAGGAAAAAAAAAGACAAGAACATTAAGTAATAAGACCAATTTAACTGGAAATGTGAATAAACAATTCATAGTCAATGCAATAGCTTATGTAAAATTTCTAGTCCATGCCTGGCACTGAGCAGGCCCTTAGGCATTGCAGCAGTTGCACTGGAGTCAGTTAGAATTGGGCCTAAAGTACGCAGGGGCAATGAGGATGGTAATATATTTTTTTTTTAATATTTTATTGTACTTCAGGTGAAGGCTTACAGAACAGATAGTTTCTCATATAACAGTAACACACATGCTGTTTTATGACATTGGTTAACAACCCCACAACATTTTAACCCTCTAAATTCTCAACTTTTTTTTTTTTTTTTTGGTGAAAATACACATAGCCAAAGATACGCCATTTCAAAAATTTTTTTTACATACACATTTAAGTGACATTGACTTCGCTCTTCTAATTGTGCTGTTATTCTCACTTAAGATGAAGGCTTACAGGACAAAATAGTCTCCCATTTAACAGTTACTACAAATGTTGCCCTATGACAATGGTTAACAATCTCACAACACATCAACAATAGAGGATGGTAATATTTTTAAATTACAATACCACTTACGGAACATTTTATATTCCAGATACTTTACAGGCACTTTTCTTTCATCATCCTTTTGAATCCTCATGTAATGCCATGAGGTAGGTGTCATCCTCATTTTACAGATGAGGAAACTGAAGATCCCAGACTGAGTAATTCACTCAAGGTCACCTAGCTAGTAATCACCAGGGCCTGAATTTGAAGCCAAGTCTATTAGAATCTAACTCCGGGTTCTTTTTTGTTAGACCATAGTGTCTTACTGTATGCTGGGTCTTAACATAGAGTTATGAAACAACACAAATTATCACTGAGGAATTTACTAACTATAACTGTTTTGGCAGAAATGACTCTTCCATGACATGCCTGAGTGGCAAGGCTTACAACAACTAGAGTACTCAGGGCACTTCGCTGCAGATCAAGATGTAGAATTAAATGCCAGAACTTCAATGTCAAGCGAAGAAAGCAACAAATCAGTATTAGGGGACATTTTTGGCCTTTATTTTTGCTAATTTTATCTTAAAAAAAATTGAGACAGTTAACTTTATGGTAGAAGGTTCCTGGATTAGATTTATAAGACGTAACACTGATTTCTCATTTTTAAGGAAGGCATTTCTTTGACAAAGAACTTGTTTTTCAGCAAACCATAGAAAATGCTTAGCATTAATATGAGACAATAGTTAGGAATGAAGAATGACAAGTAGGATGAAAATAGCATTGCTTTATGGTGTATTTACATTATAGTTCTCATGGAGCATTAAACCTTAAACTACTTGGTCTTGAAAACAGTAGGCAACTAAATGTTATTTGAGTTACTAAGTGAATCAGGAGCTAGGCCCCTCTTCAGACCAGGTGCCCTGGAGCAGGAACTGATCATGGGCCATAATCAGGAAAACAAGAGAACACCTAGGAAAACTTACTTAAACCTGACCAAGTATCAAAACAATCTCTTTTAAAACTTAGGTAGAGACAAACCCTAGAATTGGCTACAATTCTGAAAACGAAAAAAATGAAAGCAATTTCTGTCTGTAGAATTCCTAATCAGGATCTGTTTCACTAACCAATCCTGAATCCTCAATACGCATGGAAGCTATGTGTAGGGAAACATGCCCCGAAGAGATAAACCTCTTGTGAAGCTCATCTGAAAAGAACGATTCACTATCATCTTTAAGATTTCTCTATTCCACTACTATCTTTTTCTGGGTTTCTCACATCTACATTAAACTGTGTTAAAACTAAGAAGGGCAAGTCTAATACTTAATGCTATGAAACAGAGCTTCTAACATTAATCACTCACTGTGCAAGAGACTGCTGAGCAGTCAAATATTTCTCTATTTCTGGAAACAATCACAGAAGTCTGATGAATTGTTACCAGGCAAAACTGTCTACTCTCTCTTTTGACTATATTTGTAAGAATGTTGACGAGCTCCCTTTCTGGAATGGTTTCAGTATCATTTTTACCTAGATAGGTAAAAATTACCTTCACAGGTACCTTTTAATTCTATAAAATTTGTTACTACTCTAAGTCATGTTAAATGTTAAGTTCAGAAAAATAGATGCCCACCGAAACTTGCTACCAACCAACACCACTCCATTCCTTCTCCAAATGAAGAACCTATGTGCAAGGCACAACTGAATGTGAAATTAATCAACTCGATACTCATTTTTTTTCTCCAATCAAATTTTTAATCCTTCTTAAACCTGTCGTCATCCAGTTGATTCCAACTCACGGCAACCCTATAGGACAGAGTGGAACTGCCCCATAAGTTTTTCAAGGCTGAAATCTTTACGGAAGCAGACTGCCACACCTTTCTCCCATGAAGCAAGTGGGTTTGAACTGCAGACCTTTCAGTTGGCAGGCAAGCTCTTAACCACTGTGCCACCCGAGGTCCTTAATTCCTCTTAGCAAAGGAAACTGTTTCCTTCAAGGTAATACCCAACCGCCTGTTGGTACCTTCACCACAGTGCCCAATGGGACATCTCAAACCTAATGTCACAAACTGAACATACCACCTGTCTCTTCCCCCATGCCCCTCGGATGCTTTTACTTCTAAATTGCCTCTTTGGAATGGTGGAAACACCACCCACCAAGTCTCCCAAAGCAGAAACTTTGGTAGTCACCTCAGGCTGCTTCCCTTCTTCATCCCTAATCACTACTCAGTCACTAAATCCTACAAATTTTACTTCCTAAAATGTCTATTTCTACATATCCCTAAAATCTTCAAATCCTGGCCATCATCACTCCCACTGCCCTCGCTCTAGGGCTCTCCTCTGACTGGCCTTCAGTAACAGCCTCTTCTTGTCTCCTTGCCTATAGTCTTATCTCTCTCCAGTCATTCTCCAGGCTTTTATTATTGTCATCTTCCTAAATGGGAATCTAATGACGGTCCTCCCTTGTATAACACTCCCCAATGACTACAAAGTCAAAGTTTTGCAGCATAGTTTGTAAAGCTACAGTATCTAGTGATTTGCCCTCTGCCTGTCCCTTCCACATCATCTCCTGACACTTTCGTTTCCTCCCCATTGTTATTCCTCTTTGGCTTTTATATATACATACACTAACATTTCAATTTTAGAAAACTTGAGTATAGGAATAGAGGAGCACCGGTGGTGCAGTGGTTAAAGCACTCAGCTGCCAATCGAAAGGTTGGTGGTTCGAACCCACCAGTTGCTCCATGGGAAAAAGATGTGGCAGTCTGCTTCAGTAAGGATTACAGCCTTGGAAACCCTATGGAGCAGTAGAACTGTCCTGTAGGGTCGCTGTGAGTCAGAATCAACTCGTTGGCAGTGGATATTTTTTTTTTTTTTTTTTGTTTAGTACATTTTTTTGTTTAAGCGTCTCTCTGACTTAAGAAAAGCTTAGTTTACATGTATATGGTCAATTTTCTGCTTCAGTAAGGATTACAGCCTTGGAAACCCTATGGAGCAGTAGAACTGTCCTGTAGGGTCGCTGTGAGTCAGAATCAACTCGTTGGCAGTG